TCCCAGTAGCTTCTTCCTTGATATTAACCCCTTCAGGTCCTGACCCTGTAGTAAGGACAGGCAGGGGAAGCCTATCCACTGGGCAGGTTCCCAGGAGCACATCCTGACCCTAGTGCTACCCATTAAGAAGAACAAGATAGAGTGAGCTCTGACTTCTTTGGAGCAGAAACAATACAGCTTGGTTGAGTGGCCAGAGGAAGAAAAGAAACACTTACAGAGGGCTACCCTGCCCCCTTATGGAGTCCCGTGAAGCACCTTTGTGACCTTAGGCAAGTAATTTCCTCACTCTGGACCTCAGTTTCTTGTAAAATTAGGGAGTTGGACTAGATTTCTTCAATCTCTTTCCGCTGTAGAACTCATGCTCCTGTGACTCCCAAGAACATTTGAGAGACTCTGAGAACAGGTGCCTTTAAGTGCTTCCCTGGCAACCAGCCCCTCCTCCTCCTCCTCTTCCATCCTGGCTCTCTCTTTGCAGAAGGCTCAGGCTGACATTGTTGCTCTGGGGCTTCTTCATCATCTGCCTGTTGCCAGGCCTTCCCAGGAAGATCTCCCAGAGAGATCTCTAGGGATGAGGGCAGAGGGCATGGAGCCTGAGAGCACCTCAGAGCTGACCTTCCAGCTATGGCTACAGCTATTTCTCTGGGCCCACCTGGCTATGCGCTTTGTCAGCTACCTTCGACACGCTCTCTGGGGACCCAAACTGTAGCCAGCCACCCCAGCTCCTGACCTGCATTGGCTCATAATCTTCACTGCTGCTTGACATCCATCCTGGATCCCCACCGCACCCCCATATGCACTGGGGAATCAACCTTCAAAGAGTCAGGAAGTAAAGGTTGGTGTAGGACTACCTGGCCGGGTCCCCTTCCCTACCCCTCCACTCCCTTTTCCCTGGTGTCTCACTTCATTTGCCCCACCCCTAACCTAATTCTGGGACAATGGGTGGAATCTGGAGAGACCCAGGGCTACCTCAGTGATCTATTTAAAGCCCTAAGCCGTGGCATCACTTTGGCCTGCCTGGCCTCAGCTCCCTGGTGCCTCCTTGGAGCAATTGAGAATTCATATTTTCCCCAATGAGGAGGAGCTCTGTTTCACATTTTCCTCCCGCAGGAGGCCCTGTTTCTCCAAGAGCTAGTACTGCAGGCTGGAACTTCCCTCACCAGGACACTAGAAAAGGGGCAGCAGAAACAATGCCCAGCCCAGCTTGCAGATGTTGTGCTCCTAGTGATTCTCCTTGGGGGAGCTGGAAGGAGGGATTGGGAGTGGGGCTCCTGCTGTTCTTTGCAGAGTGAGCTAGTATGAGGAAGAAGGACTTCAGGACTTTCCCAGTTGACCTGGCTTCCTCAGATTGGGGGGGTGGGATGGTTGAACAAGGAGGAAGAGGGTGAGAAGCAGCTGGAAGGGACTGAATCTTCTGGAATCTTGGTTTCAGCAGGCTATGTTCCATCCTGAATCTGAAAGCCCTTATGGCAAAAGAATCTCTTCTAGGGGAATCAGCAACTGGTTTAGGAAGATTAGTACAATTGCTCAGCTGTGTGTACCATCTTGTTTCTCCACAAAGTCAGCAGGAGGCTGACTGGCTGCTTATTCCTGACATCACACCTATGAGGGCTTTGCCTTTGTGCCGTGGTGGAGTGGGCCTCGGACCTGGTAGGGAGCATGGGTGGCTGGGCCTAGGGCTCACCTTATTTCCTTCCTGGGAACAGTTCTTGTCTCCCTTCTCATTGGAGGAGGTGGGTAGGATAGTCCCTTTAGCTGTGTCTCCTCAGCTCCCCAGTTACTTTCCAAGTCTTTCTGATACAGAAGGGGTCTTAGAAGCTCAACCTGTTCATTTTATAAATACGGAATCTAAGACCCAGAGTGTGACAGCACTGAGACCAGAATCACCAAAGCAAGAAAGTGCAGAGCCCCCGAGAGAACCCTGAGCTCCTGACATTTTTCAAACCGTCCCCTGCCTTCATACTGATTGCAGGCGTCTTCTACCCTTATCTAACACCTATTTCTTGCTACCTTCAGACTCACCCCAAAGTGGGCCCTCCCTATTTGGGTAAAGATAAAAGTGCTAGGTGTCCCATGCTGTGTGAATAAAAGATTCTTGAGCCTATGGAACCAGGTTTGGGCAGTAGATGGAAAGGTCTTGTGACAGGGTTCCAGGTTTCCCTGGGAAAATTACTTAGTTCTGCCGAGCCTTGGTTCCTCATCTGATTGAACAGGGTTCTTAACAGTAGCTACCTCACAGATCTGTTGTGAAGCAAGCACTTTGTAAACCTTAGAGTGTCAGAGAAACGTAAGCTGTTGTAAGAGGCAGGATGATGCGATGGGAAGAGCAGGAGGCCTCTTTTAAAGTCCTAGCCCAGTGACCCTGGAATAATCACTTAATTTAATTCACAAAGCAGGTACCAAACCCTTACTATATTTCAAGAGTCCAAGCAAGACCCTTGGCTTGAGACAATGCGAAACAGATAGAGGGCCAGCCTCTGACTCAACTGTGTGACAGTGGGCAAGTTCCTTAGGGCCCCAGACAGTTCTCTACCACTGTAAAGGTACAGATAAGTTGTGGATCTGCACAACTTTTCCTATGTGGGTGAAATCACAGATCTAGATTGGGGGGAAAAAAAACCCTGCTAGCCACTGTGCCAGGTTACAAAGATAAAAAGAAAGCAGGCCCTACCCTCAAGGGGCTTCCTTGTCTATTGAGGGGGGTGTAGTATGTACACAAGTGAGGGGGGACAGAGCACTGGAGTGGGGATGGGGGATCAGGAGAAGCTTCCGGGAGGAAGCAGCCTGGAAGGAAGACGAGGATTCAGAGAGGTGGAAAGGAGGGAGGAGGTGGGGGTGTGGTGAAGGTCTCTGAGCCTCAGTTCTCCATATATAAAGTGGAGGTGACAGTGTGGGTACTGCCACCCCATAGGGATGGTGCCAGACAGCTGTAGAGCACTCCAGCAACGTCAGCTGCTATTATTAAAAAGAGGTGGTAATGATGATGGCATTGAGATAGTTGTAGAGGAGGCAGACCTGAGGTCCCTGGGAGAGGTCAAGGGAAGATCTGCAAGTATACTGGCAGGTTCATGAAGAGGCAGGCTGGGGGGCCAAGGCCACTAAGCAGGTTTGAGGTGCTTCTGTGGGGATACCTTCTCCACCCTAAGGCCCAGTGCTCTTAAGAGAAGGGACCGAGCAAGCAGCCAAATCCCAGGGCTATAAATACCTCAGCCCACATTGGCGTCCCAGGAATGTAGGTCAGAGCTTGGGGGGAGGGGGGTGGGGTGTTCAAAACCCTGGCCTGTAGCTCAGATCCTTATCCCCTCCCCCTGGAGAAAGCCCCCCATTCTTGGACATTTGGTGACAGTGCTAGAGTTGTGAGAGTGAGAAGGCACAGACCAGAAATTGGACTTTCTTCCCTTGGCCCTGTCCTAGAAGGCAATAGGCCCCCTACTGAGGGGGTAGGGGTGGGGTGGAAGGGTGTTAGAAGAATGGGACCCTGAGGAAAGAGTTAGCATGTAGCTTAGATGGGTTCAGTTGGGTTGGAGCTACCCAGGGCCCACCTCAAGTGGATCGGGCTCAGCTCTACAATAACAACAAAATGCTAAGTGCCTACTGTATGCAAAGCCTTGTTCTAAGTGCTGGGAATGATTTATAAAAAAAAAAAAAGTTTGGGTAAGACAGACCCTGCCCATAGGAACCTTACAATCAAATGGGGACTAACACTAACACAGATAACTCTACTATGTAATCATACATGAGGAATGCATTAGAGCAATCCAAAACAAAGTTCTCCATGAGGCCCAAGGTGTGGGACGTCTTCCTTACCTGGAAGGACCTGAAAGTGTCCCTGGAGGATGGGACTTTTGAGTTGATCTTTAAAGGATGGATTTAAATTCACCAGATGCGTGGAAGGAGGATATGCCCGAGCAAAGATTCTGTCTGATAGGAATAGACAAGGGTACAGAAAATCTCTCCCCTGCCTGGAGTATAGAGGGCCTGCAAATAGGCCTTAGACGTCGTCAGCAAGCAGGAACCGTTAAGGGGTTCTGAGGAGAGGACTGACGTGACCAGGTCTGTACATATCCAAAATGACTTTGGTCAACGTACAAAGGGTGGGATAGAGGCAGCAAGGCCTGGTAGGAAGCTCTTACAGTAGCCCAGGTAGGTGGCAATGAGGGCCTGGGTGAGGGTTGCGACAGTGTGAGGAAAGAGGAAGTAACGAAGGGCGAGAGCAGATGGGGAAGCAGAATCAGTAGGGTCCATGAACTGACCACACATGAGAAGTGAAGGAGGAAGAAGAGTTAAGGATGACCTTAGGATTTTGAACAACTATATATTGTCAATAATGGTACATATTAATAATAGTAATCTATGGCACCACCCTCATCCAGTCTTATGTTCAAAACCTTTGGGTTATTCCTAACTGTTCTTAACCCATACACACACACCCTCTCACTCACTCACTCACTTTCTCTCTCTCTCTCTCTCTCTCTCTCTCTCTCTCTCTCTCTCTC